CGGGTGGGGCGAGGGGCCGCAGGGCGCGTGCGGGTGACTGCCGCGCCTTCGCTGCGATGGGAGGGTGCGGGGGTCGGGGGTGCGGAGTGTCCCGGTGTTGGGGGGAAGGGGGCTGAGCACAGGAGGGGGCTCGGCGGGGAACGGGACCTCGTGGTCCCCTCCGTGTCTGGCACCTGCGCCTCCTGCCCTGCGCTTTCCTGGGCAGTGTGGGTTGGAGGACCGACTGGTGCCCCGCCCCGTCGCGGTGACTCGGCACTTTCTCCTGGGCCGCGGCTGTGGAGGACACAGAACCGCAGAGAATAACATCACCTTCCTCCCAAACAGGTCACCCAACAGCCTGTTCCCTTCCGGGGAGCTTCCTAGGACAGGCACCTGCCCGTGACCGAAGCCATGACGGAAGCGCTCCCCAAGCTTCGGGAAGAGTTTAGGATGCAGAATAAGTCAGTGTTTATTCTGGGCGCCAGCGGGGAAACCGGCCAAGTGCTCCTGAAAGAAATCTTGGATCAACGCCTGTTTTCCAAAGTCACACTCATTGGCCGGAGGACGCTCCCCTTCCAGGACGAAGCTTATAAAAATGTGGTGAGTGTTTGAGCTGGAAGCCACCGTCCACTCCGCAGGTGAACGCCCTTCATCCGCAAAGACCAGTGGTGGCGGTGTGGACAGGTGTTCGGATCGGGCCCATATGGGCCCGTGAGACCTGAAACTGGCAGCTGGAACCACAACTGTCTCCCATCACCTGTGGCCCTAGGGGCAGCCTTTCTTACTGCCTAGATAGGCCCTGGGTGATCTGTTTGGGAGGAAGGTGATGCTATTCTCTGCGGCTCTGTTGTCCTGCACAGCTGCGGCCCAGGAAAAAGTTCTGAGTCACCGCGAGGGGGTGGGGCACCCAGTTGGTCCTCCAACCCACACTGCCCAGGAAAGAGCAGGGCAGGAGGCACCGGTGTCAGAACCGGTAGTCAAGACCACACATCCTGATGGTAGTCAGTCCTATAAGCTTTGGCACTTTGCCCAACCACTTGTTTCTCTGTGCTCCGCCCACTCATGCCTGTGGATCTGAAAATGCTGAAGTGGGAGAGGTGACCGTGAGAGGTGGGTTCCTCACGAGAATTTGCCCTGTTGACTTCCCAGGATTTCTGTCTGTAACTAGAACACAGCGTCCTTAAAGGCAGGCAACATCAGGCCTCGTATGTGTGTGGAGCGGGCACCCAGGTGTCTGAGTGCCAGAATGCCGGACTTCTACCCGGTTGCTATGCACAGCCCCGAAGCCACCTAATCTGAAGTGATGGAGCCCAGGTACAAACTCCCAACCTCTGCCCCCTTGGCTCCTGTGACTCAGTGGGTCTAGCCTCCACTTTTTGCCTGGTGTGGGCTTCTAGAGCAAGGGTGGAAAGGTGTGTGCCCCAGCCACCCTACCTACCCTAACCTTGGCTCATCTACCCTTAGCCTCCTTGGCCCACACTGACCTATCAGGCAGGTTCTCTCAGGTGAGCTGCCCTTCCCTGCAGCTGGCTTAGCAGAGAAGGCAACGACAGCTAGGCTGGACCTGAGGCTTCCACAATAGAAGTTTTCCAGGCCATATGCCCCACAGCAGCCTCTGGGCCAGAGGTCATGCCTGCCACCTCCCACCCCCCAACATATGATCACACAATATCCAAATCACATAACATCCTATTCACAGAAAACCAGTTGTCCGTGAGTTGACACAGATGCATGGTATATGTCGGAGTGCAACTGTGCTCCACAGGATTTTTAATGGCAGATTTTTTTTTAGAAGTAGATCAGCAGGCCTTTCTTCTAAGGCACTCTGGGTCAACTCAAGCCTCCAACTTTTTCTATTAGCAGCTGAGCCTGAGCTTCATGTCAATGCCTTTCTCCAGTTCAGCAGTTCTCTGGGCACTGCAGCACATCCCACAAGAGGGTGTGAGATGTTGCAATGACTGAACTTGGCCCCAAAGGTTTCAGATGAAGAATGTTGTAGCAAAACAAATAGTTGGTGATTTCTATGGTTCTGTGTCCAGATCATTTTGTTCTTATGTCTTGGGCCCATTGATTTGCCTGTGGAGGAAATCATTTGTTGTTTTTCTAATCTGACTTTTCCAGATCGCCAGCAAGTGCATCGGAGTTCTGTGTTTTGAGCGTCAGGTTTGGGTCACATAGCTTGGGACCAGGCACTCAGTGAGAGAGGTGTCTTCCTTTGGCATTGTGCCTGGTGTCAGGGAATGCCTCTACAAAAGTTGATGGTAGAGAAGGAATGCCACCTCTTATTTTATCTCCGGGTGGTGGGAACCTCTTGCAAACTTTCTTCTGTATGCTTCCCTCCTAAAATCTTATAAGGTTAGGTAACCCTCAATCTCAGTGTGCATGAATTTCTTATAATAATTGCAAATTCTGATTCAGTACCTTTGCCTCCTAGTTCTTTCCTCTATTTCCTTTTACTTTCCTCTTGTCCCACTATCATGTTCAGCCTTCATTTGGGTCTCAGTAATTCCTATCGGTTACATTGCTCTTGATCACACCCTACCAGGCCTCCTACACCCTCCACAGCATAGATTTTCGGTTACTTATTGTTCCCAAGTCCTTGGGTTTATTAACACTCACTTCCTTTCCCCAGCCTCCCCCTCTCCCATGTCTCCCAAGAACCATCAGCCCCGTTATTTTCTCCTCCACATTGTTTATATCCCACCTATCTTATCTAGATAGACCTGCAGAGAGAATATGCACAAAAAACAAGACAGAGCAAAACAAAGCAACAAAGGAAAACAAAGCAACAACAACAACAACAACAAAAAAAACCAATGACAAAAAAAGAGAGAAAAGCCTGTTTTCTGGTTTGATGGGGTATCACGCCTGGCCCCAAAGTCTATTTTTGGTATTCCTTGGGGGACTTCGTTGCTCTGTTCCTCTTGTTGTACCGTTGCATGCCCTTAGTGTTTTGCCTCAGTGTGATGGGGTCAGATCTGGCAAAATTCCTGCACTATGTCTACATTGTGGTTCCCCGTAGTGCTATGGGTCAGTGAAGGACGTCCTGTTTCGTGGTGGGGCTGGCCCTATGGTTCTCTCTGTGCATTGGCTGTTCTGAGCAGGAATATCGTCCTCAGGGCTTGGTGGGCCAGGATGTGTTCCACTCTCTCTTCCTCTCCCTTCATTTGCTCCTGTGTGCTCTGACCAGACATGTCCCTCTCCCTGAGCTGTAGCTTCAGTGCTGTCCTCTGAAGTGCATTCTTCTGGGGATATGGGGCCGGTCCACGTAGTTGGGATTGGGGCCAACCCTCATGTTTTGTCTTTTAATAACAGCAAGTGATACCCCACTGTGTTCTCGTTATCTAGAACCAAGAAGTGGTGGACTTTGAGAAGCTGGATGACTATGTGTCTGCCTTCCAAGGTCACGACGTTGGATTCTGCTGCCTGGGCACCACCAGAAAAAAAGCCGGCGCGGTAAGGGAGGACCCGCTTCTCTCCTTGCTGCCTGTTAATGTCCAGTGTTCCTTTCTTACTCACCCATTTTCCTTCTGCCTGCTGCAGCCCTTAAATGTAAATAAGCTCTGGTTGCTGAAGATTCCATGTGCTGCTCCACTTTTGCTGTGCTGTGAATAGCACGGAAGGGTTTGTTCATCTTTCCTTCAAGTGATCCTTGAGCTCAGGTCTGAGAGCTGGCGATATCATGAGAATTATATGATCTTTCTTGCAAGTACTGCTGTCACTGTGTTCCTCTAAGACAAATCGTTACCGCCATTTGCCATCGGGCTGCTTCTAGCCTGTGGCGACCCCATGTGTGTTGGGGTATATGGTTTTCAATGGCTGCAGTTTTGGAAATAGATCGATTGCCAGGCCTTTCCTCAGAGGCACCTTTGGGTGGACACAATCCCTGAACTCTCCCTTCAGCGTTTGCACCACTCAGAGACTCCTGGATCCGAGTAAGAGTGATTGGCTTAGCTGTTAGTGGTCAGCTCCCTTCCCCTCTATCTTTTTTTTTTCTTTTAAATATTTTAAACTTGAAATGTTCTCTCACTTGGATGATTTGCTTTAACCTATTTTCATGCCAAGATTTAAACTTCTGGGCGAGACCATCGGAGCACAGAGGCACGATTCAGCCAGCCTCCAGAATGACTCAGCCGAAGGCCGTGATTCAGCCCTGGGATGATTCAGCCAAAAGTGACACAGAACTGTTGTCACACACGTTTTGTTTTCTTTTTAATGATGTTCTCAATTGAGTCGGCCCCTGTCCAGAAGTCACAGTTTACTACTTCGTTAGAAGCTCTGGCTTACGACATGACCCTGGACAAGTGTTACAATCTCTTATTTATATCTTGACTATCCTTTGTCCCTCTCACAGAATGTACTTGCTGGAGCTGAGCTGATCTAGTCAATATTCAGGACCATGACTCAGCTGAGCGGACGTACCAGTAGCTTATCAAGGAGGTCTGTGCACCGTCATCCTCAGCAGGGAACCCATAGTTAAGAACTCCTGGCTCCGGTCAGCCCAAGAGGCAGGCTGAGATGCATGCCAGACCCTCTGTAGTCCCACAAACCCACCCGGGACACAGCTGGGCTGTGGGAAGGATATATTTTACCAAGAAGCTTGGCTCTCCCGGGAAGCAGCACGCCATCGCTGCTAGAAAAGGACCTTTTCCTGCCCAGCAGCGAGTGCAGTCTCCCCTGTCCCGGCACAGGCGCAGGGGCTGTGTGCCCTTCACAAGTGTGGAAACTTTGGCTGTAGGAACTGTGGGTTCCACTGTCTCAGGTGTTAACCCAGTTTTGCTGGTGACTCAGCAAAAGAGAAATTCTGCATTCGGCCCTGAGCCGTTGAATTGCCTGACAGGCAAATCTCATTAGAGAGCACTCCAGGTGGGGAATGGTCTAAAAGGCTTTGTTGTTGTATTCAAATAGTCAGATTCTGTCATGTGGTTTTAATCAGAAGAACTGGGTATTTTTGCATATATGTGTGTGTGTATACATATATTCCCCTCCCCCTTTCCCTCCAGGATATATTTTTTAGTGGGATGGCTCCCTGACTTTTGGACTACTCAACACCTTCATGTTCTCTCTCAGAATCAGTTTGAAAAGATAAAAACTAATTAATGAGTAATTAAGGATTAAGGCTGGTAAGCCAAGTAAGAGTCTCAGAATGAAAGCCAACCCTGTTGCTATTGTGTCTGCTTGGACTTCTGGCGACCCCAGTGTGACAGATGGCATTGAGCTTCCGGTGGCTTCTTGGCTGTACTCTGTCCATTAGCCCGTCGCCAGGATTGTCTTCGACAGTACCACTGTTTGGGTTTGAACTGCCAACCTTGAGGTGAGCCGCCCAGGGCCTCCACTTTGAGGTTTAAATGGCTTACGAGATTAGTGACAGAAAGTAAATGGACTCTTCCTTCAGAGTGTTGTTTTTCCTTTTTCATCTGAAACTCACTTCGATGGGGTGCAATCTGAAGCTGGCAAGGTCACAGTTCACGAGGGAGGGCCTGTTGGGAAGGAGCTACATGGCAGGGTGCTATGGATTTCCAAGCTCACCCCTACTTGTATTCTGAATTCAGGGCTTTTGTCTCAGTGTGCTGATCCTTGGAGCAGTTAGCATCCTTTCTGATGATAGCAATAAACAAACCTAACTTCCTGTCATGGAGTCAATGCTGAGTCGTAGCAAACACCCCCATCCCACCCCCACCCCCACCCCCACCATGGGTTTCTGGGACTGTAACTGTTTATGGGAGTAGAAAGCCCAGTTTTTCTCCCTCCGAGCTGCTGGTGGTTTTGAACTGCCGACCATGTGGATTGCAGCCCAATACATAACCACTACACTACCAGGGTTCCCGAGAATATGAATAGACCCAGATTTCTGCTGAAATGCTTATGGCTTTCTTCATTTCCCACAGCAGTAGGTGGTTAGATGCTCATCTGTATTGTCACATTCACTGGCTACAGGCATGAGTCAATGCCGCGGCACCTGACTTGCCCCTTGTGGCAGGATCTCTGAGGTTGGAAGGTTGGTGTCTCCATTTTTTAGTAGGATGGATCCATGGATGGATCTGAGACCCGGATGCAACTAACCCTTCGCCTTTTTGGATCTGCATTCAGGAAACACTGGGATGTCTTAGCCTTCCTCACCTGCTGTTTTGCGGGTACTTTAGCTCCAGGTGGCTCTCACCTCACTTTAAGTGAGTGGCTTGAGTGAGGGTTGATGTGCTCTTAGCTAACTATGTCTACACTGACCCTGAGTGCAGAGCACAAACTCACAGATGCCACAGAGAATACTATCTCTTAAGAGGGAGGCATAGTGAGTGAGTTAGAGGTGGTTTGATGTAGTTTCACCTGTCTATTGATCCAGGTTCATTAGTGCTGTTAGCATTTAGTGTACATCGTAGGGTCCCCTGGCTTCAGATTCAAATGCTAGACTCGTATAACCTAGAAGTGTGCGCACTGTGGCCTCTGGGCCAAATGCAGTCACTCTAGTGCCTGTCGTGAATGGCCTGCAAGCCAAGAATGTTTGTATTTTTTTAAATCAAAAGATGATTAATTGGAGACACAAGAAAATATAAGCCATTCAAACTCCACTGTCCATAAATACAACTTTATTGGGCAACAACAGCGCTCATCTTTGCACTGCTTCGGACTGTTTGTGCTTTGAAGGCAGAGTTCAGCACAGCTGACAGTGCTTTTCACACATAGTGTGTGATCCTTTCCAGGAGATGCTTGTCAACTCCTGTTGTGAGATACCTATTGGACGGTTCCCGTGGGAGAAAGAGGAAGTTTTCTGCTCCTGTAATGATTTTCAGCCTTGGAAACCCAAAGGGGCAGTTCCACTTTGCCCTGTAGGGTCACGATGGATCAGAATGCAGTCAGTGGCAGTGAGTGTCTTGTTGTGTTCTGGGCTTTCATCCCTCAGGGTCTCTAGTGGCACTGTGGGGAGGCATTGGGCTGCTAACGACAAGAATGGTGGTCGAAACCCCCTGCCACTCAGGAAGATGAGGCGACGTGCTCCTGTAAAGCTTTATGGTCTCAGAAATTCCATGTAGAGTCAATTATGATTCAACACTGATGGCAGTGGGATATTGTTTCTTTGATGTCTAGGAAGGGCTTTGTAAAGTGGAAAAGTCCTGGCTCGTTCAAGAAACCTAAAACCTAGGCTTTATTTGGATACGAGGTATCCATGGGACCTCAGGTGCACTGCTTAGCCTCTGTGGGTGGCTGCTTTTTTGTACTGAGAGGCAGGTGACACTGAGAGGCCAAGTGCTCGCCCAGCTGCAGAATGGCAACTACCTCAATGGGCAACATGAGTGAGGAGGCAGGGATTGGCCCCGGAGTGCTTTGGATGATAACTGTCCATGTAGAGCTCACTCTCTAACCCAGATCAGGCTCCTGGTGCTCTGAGCAGGACACCAGCAAGGGGGTGTTTCAGGCTAGAGCATTGGCTGTTGGTCGGCATCTGTGGTTTCTGGGCTAATTTGTAGGGTTGGGTTGTAAAGGGAGAGAAGGAGAAAGCATCTGAAGGAGACATATGGCTAAGTTGGATTAGTTACGAATGATGGATCCTCTTTTCTTGGAAAGATGTCTCTGACCTTCTGGGGTCATCCCATCAGGTGCTGCGCTCTGGAACACCATGTCAGCATGCTGTCTTCTGGCACCAGAGTGCTGTGCCCAGGTCACAGGCACTGGTGAAGAAGAACGATATAGTCGTCTGGGGTTTGACTAAGATCAGATCAGAGTAGTTGGAGACTGCTTATGGAGCCTAGGAGGACCTGTCTGCTGCATGCTTTTTTATTTTCTTCAGGAGTCCCTTAGTGGTGCCAATGGGAAGCTCTCTGCTGCTACCTGAAAGGCTGGAGGTTCAAGTCCAACCAAAAGTGTCTCAGAAGAGAGGCCTGATGATCTCCTTCCCCAAAACCAACCTCTGAAAACCCTAAGAAGTTTGACTGTGACCCACATGGAGTCACCATGAGTTGCACCCGAGTTTACTTTTCATCATTTTATTTTCTTAAAGGGGTACTGGCAAAGGACGCATGTAGTAAAGACTTTAGTTAGTTCCCTCCTTTCTAGAATGAGCTCTGAGTCCTAGCTCAGAGTAGAATACACAAACTGTGGAATCGTAACGACTTAATGCTCTCAGAAGAGACATTTTTCCTCCTGCACTTGGTTAAAGCAAAAACCAGACTTGTTACCACTGTGTCAGTTCCGACTCACGGCTACCCCATAGGGCTGTAATTATGGAAGCACACAGCCACATCCCATATTTCTCCAGCGGAGCAGCTAGTGGGTTTGAACTGCTGGCCCTGCTGTTCACGGCAAAGACTGGTCACTGTGTCACCAGGCTCCTTGTCATATGGTTAAGGGGATATGCATTTAAAAAAATTGTTTGCCTTGGATATTGCCTGGCTTGTTTTAGTTCTGTTTTGTTCTTGGTTTTTTAAATGAGGTTTCAAAGATAGCTCCCTTCTATCTATAAACGAACTCATCCATGCTCCCAAAGGGTACAAACGGTGGGGCCTGATTTCTCAGTCCCTGAAAGCTGTTGACCCCTTTGCTTTTGAGTCCCATTCACCAGCGAAAAGGCCACGCTTCAGGGTGGGGGGAGTGAGATTCGAAATTTAGTGGGCTTGGCAATACAGCGTATTTATAATCAGCTTGAGGGCTCCGAGGATTTGTGAAATCGCTTTGGATTAACAGCCATTGATTGCTAATAAAACAATATTTAGCTTTGTCCCGAGACCCGCGGTGGAGAAAGGTGTGGGCACCTTGTCAACAGGGCCCATTGAGCAGGGATGATGGGCTAAGCGTGGGGGTCTCCGCAGCAGCGTGGGTGCTCGTCCTTCAAGGGGCCTGTGTCAGTTGTGAGTGCGGTGGGTGAAAGGCAGGACGCGGGCGTCTGATGGCTGGGGTGCTATTGATGTGCCTCCACTGACTAATCAGATTGAAAAAGCCCCATGGCATTGATGTCACTTTAATTTTCATCAAACAATCAGAGATGGCAGCACTCTATTACAGAGAGACTGATCCAGAACTAAAGCCAAATAAATTAGGGTCTCAGTTTAATCAAATTATCCCTTTACTGGCCCTGGATTAAGCAACAGAGGCAGCGTGGGTCTGGAGACTTTCCATTGGCTGAGTCCCCCCTATTCCCCTACTCCCCCCCCCCTTTTTTTAAGAAGCTGCTGAAAGAAAAAAGCATTTTAACAGACAACTACTAGAAGAATCTTTCCAAGCAGAAGTACAAAAACCATTTTTTTAAAGGAATTAGTCTACTATGCCTGCTGTGTCATTAGTCTACTATGGAGTTTTGTTATAAATAATAAATCTTTTATGCAAACCCGGGTGCTGGTGAATTGGAATGACGCAAAGAAATAGAAGTGGAAGAAAAACAGAGATTTAGATTTTTTTTTTTCTGTCGCGGTGAGTGTTTTTTCCTGGCAAACTTACAGCACACGTAAGATCCAGGTCTGGAGCACGGTTCTGCGGAGACTCACTTCTCTCTGTCAGGACGGGCCGAGGACCAAAATCTGTTTGCTTCAAACAGATTTACCAAAGCAACAGCCATGTGTAAGGCAGGCTCATGAGTGAGCCGTGTGGGATTTCACGTCAGAAGTGTATAAACAGCAGCGCCCGC